TTTGTGCAGTTGACATTTACTGAGCATCCGCTAAGCATCAAACCCTGTGCAGAGACCTGGTGGTGCGGCCCCATGCATGCCTGAGGGGCCTGCATCCTAGACAAGAGACGGGTGACAAGCACTCGTCCAACCTCAGGTAGTGAGTTCAAGGCCACCTGGACACAGTGGCAAAGTTAAACTTTCTCCTATATAAGGAAGACTCCTTGGTATCAAAGAAGTGAGGTAAGGAAGGGGGACATAATTGCCTGAGTCGGTGGAGGCGCTCGCCCTGCAGTCTCCCCATTGGAGACCCTGAATCCTCCAAAGACTCAAAACCTCAGCAGATTCAGGCGTCCTCTGCTGGCTACTATAGGAACATTCTGCAACCGAGTTCCAGAAGGAAGGGGACCAGGAGAGGAGAGGCCCCAGTCCCTGCTGGACATGAGCTTGGACGCCAGAGTCCAGTCTAGTCCTTGCATCTACCGGCTGGAGTGATGAGCTCAGCAAGTTTCTCGGCTACTCTGGGCCTTGGCTGCTCCACATGTGAACTGGAAGTTCTGACAGCCAAGTCACAGGGTGGCGGAGTCGATCTCAGGTGCAGGAGAGGGGGCTGAGGGGGAAGGCACCGGAAGAGATCAGAGAAAAACACTCTTGCTTATTGACATATTTTACAAGTATTTTAAAAACAGCTTTACTGAGGCATAACTTACATTTAATAAAGTCCATCTACTTAAGTAATAGTTTGATAAGTTTCAAACAGTGATCGTGGCATACAACATCACCCTACTCCAGTTTAAGAGCATCCACCTTATCCTAAAAAAGAGCCTTCAGAATTCCCATTCCATTCAGTCTCCAGTCTGACTCCTAACCAAAGCCATCTGTTTCTGTCTCTACATTTCATATTTTAATGGAATCATACAATAGATGGTCTTTGTTTCTGAATTCTTTGATTTAGTACAATATTTTTGAGGTTTCTTTATGTTACAGTGCATATTAGTAGATTTCCCTTTCTTAGTGCTAAGTAATATTCCATCACATGGATACACTACAATTTGTTTATCTAGTTACCAGTTATCTAGTTATCTAGTTACCAGTTGTTGGACATTTGGAACTAGTATGCTTGTATTTGTTCTGTTTTACTGATGTGGGAACTCAGTGCAATACATTTTCCTCTGAGGACTGCTTTCATTGCATCCTACAAATTCCAGTAAGGTGTATTTGTATTTTTATTTGCTTGTAGGTATTGTTTAATTTCTTCTTTAGTTTCCCCTGTGACCCACTGATTGCTCAAGAGTGTGTTATTCAATTTCCATGTTTGTGGGGTTTTTGCAGTTCCTTTTATCATTAATTTCTAGATTCATAGCGCTATGATCTGATAACATTCATGGGATAATTTCAACTCTTCTGCATTTATTTAAATATGTTCTGTGGGTTAGAATGTGATCTATTTTAGAGAATGTCCCATGTACCACTGAGAAGAATGTATATTCTGATGTTGTTGGATGGAACACTCTGTATATGTCTATCAAGTCCATTTGTTCACAAATGTGATTCAGTTCTGTTATTTCTTTGCTGATTTTCTGTCTGGCTGATCTGTCCCTTGGTGTCAGTGGTATGTTAAGGTCTCCTGTTATAATTGTGTTATTATGAATATGATTTTTCATTTCCATTAATACTTGCTTTGTATAACTGGGGTGCTCTGAAATTTGGTGCATATATATTTAAGATAGTTATCTCTTCCTCTTGAAGTTTTCCCCTAACCAGTATGTAATGACCTTCTTTATCTCTTAGGATCATTCTTCGTTTAAAGTTCACATTATCTGCAAACAGGACAGCTACTCCCACTTTTTTGGGGAAGGGGTTCCTGTTGCATGTAGTATTGTTTTCCATAGAGGACGTATCAGATATTAAACTGATAAGAACAGATGCTGCAGTTGATCTTAGCCAAAAGGCCCAGAAACAATGGAGCTAATATGAACAATGCTGTTGTGAATATTCACAAACAAGCTTCATGTGCGTATATCTTTTAATTTCTCTTAGACAGATACTTAGAAGTATAATCTCTGGAATGCAAGACAAATGTTTTACTTTAAGTAAACTCTGCCAAACTGCTTTCCAAAGAACCTATTCCATCTTACACAGCATTAGCGGTGTGCGAGCGTTCCAGTTTCTCCACACCATTGCGACCCTCGGTGTGGTCATTCTGTTGGATCATGGCCCTTTCAGTATGCATTTCCCTAGTGACTGACAATATGAGCATCTTTTCCTGTGCTTAATACCTCTTCTTTGGTAAAATGCCTATTCAAATATTTATCCAATTTCTAATTGTTTGTCTTATTTTTGAGCCAACTGTATTCCTTATAATTCTGGATGCAGCCCTTCATTAGAAAAAAGATGTTCAGTATTTTCTTTTAGTTTACAGTGTGGCATTTTGATTTCTGAGTGGTGTCATTTGAGGAGAAGTTTTAAACACTCCAACATATAATTTCTCTCTTCCAGAATGTTCTTTTAATGCCATAGCTAGGAAATATTTGCCTAGTTTAAGGTCATGAAGAGTTTCTTCTGTGAGTTTTACAATCTTAACTCTTAAATGTACATCCACGCTCCTAGGGAAAGGATCACCCACTTAAGATCAAGAAGACCTGACATTAACTGGCAGTGTGATATCGGGGAATTCCTCTCTTCTCTAAGCTTTGGTTTCCCTATCTGTATCTCTATCTACATCTATATCTATATCTGTATCTGTATCTGTGTCTGTGTCTGTGTCTGTGTCTGTGTCTATATCTGTATCTATATCTGTACCTATCATAGATATATCTCTATCATATAGATATAGTTGAGTATTTGGTTTTTTAAATTTAAAGAAAGACTAAACAAAACAGAAAACGGGTAGAAATAATACATAATTTCAAAGGAAAAATAAACAATAAGGAATCACTAGTTGATGATTACAGATTGTCTTCTTACAAATAGTTATTCAAGATACTAAAGTGGAGCATATAAAGTGGGGATTCAAACAGTGAGACTGCAACCAGTTCTGCTCAACTATCCAACAAAAACTTAGAAATATGGTTGTCAATCCTATACACTTAAACATACATGCAGTTATCCATATCTTCAATTAAGTTGAGATTGAACAAGCCCAAGCAGGCTAATATCACTCTGAACAAAGAATAATCCTATTGCTGTGTTTCACATTATGACACTCCAGGATCAGCACTGGGTACTTCAGTGTCTCTTTGTCTTCAAAGTATCTGTTCATTTCATCATGTGTCGTAAGGTAAGTTCTCATAAACTCTTTATAGATTCTACATATGCATGAGTCTTAATACGTCTTTCTATCCTTTCTATATTAGAGAAACAAAACAAAGCAAGACAAAACAAAACATATTACTAAAAACACATGAAACAAAATAAACATATAAGACCGTTGTACAAAGAGTTCTATCATGGTTCCTGTGTTGACTCTTGTTATCTCAATAGAATTGACTATATCATCAGACATAGTATAATTGAATATATCAGTACATAACAGTATTAATAAAAATGCAACTTTGTATATAGTATAAAACTTCAAAATCTGGCAGTTATCAAACCATAATGTGTATCATAGAGTCTTCTTGTCTTCAGTGTAGTTGTCTGTACTCTCAGACTTGATGCTATCAATCATATCAGTTTTGAATAAAATCTTGTCTGCATCATTTCTGTTATGCTCTTTTTTAACCATCAGTTGTCTGCTTATCTTCTTCATTCTGTTTTCTGCTCCATTCATTGAGGCCTCTCTGCCACTGTTCCTGGAATCTTAGTGCTTTTCTCTATAGATCCTTTTGTCGTCTTCTAGCCTTTGTATTATTACTGCTTGTTTCCTTGTTATTTTTTAAAAGTTTTCCCTTTTGTACTCCCACATTTCAAAATTGTCCTCTAGTTTGAATAATCTATCTTTAGTTTCTTTCAAGCTTATTTGCCATCTTTCCATAGAGCTTTTAATTTCCTGGTAATCTCTTTGAATCTGTTTCATGTATTCTATTTTTTTTATATTCTTCACCAAATGGTTCTCTCCTTTGTTTGAGTTCCTCCCTTCTGTCTGTGTCTGCTTGAAGGGTGCTTAGTATCTCTTTTATTAATCTTCTTATATCTTGCTTTATTTGGCTAAGTATTTCACTTTTGAACTCGTCTATGAGGTCCCGAATATATCTCTTTATGTCCACTGGTGCTGTGTCTGATATTGCATGTTTGCTGTTCTCATTCTCCTTTGTATTTACCTTTCCCGGGTCCATGTTCTCAGGGTTGGGACCTGGGGGCTTTTTCTTGTTGCTTCCTCTTCCTGTCTTTTTTGTTTCCTCCAGTTTCTTTTTTTGTTGGTTACAATTCTTCTGAAGCATGCTGGCTAGATGACCCTTCCCACTGCTGTGTGCTAGTGAGTTGCAGACAGAGACAGCATATGCTGGCCTCTCCCCTCTGGATCAGTCAAGCTTCTGAGGCCTGCACTGTATTACTTTAGGCTGCCTCCCCTCCAGACCAGCCAAACCTGAGCATAGTTGAGTATTTGACTATGTCAAAATAAAAGTCATTTTCTTTACTCCTCTTCCTCCTCCTCCTCCTCCTTGTTAACCAACCCCTGCTTTTGCTGAGGTGTTCACTAGCAATAATTTGTTTGGGAAATGTGAGTCCTTCTGTCTCCAGGTGCTGAATCATGATTGGTTTAAAACAGTGTTCCTCAGTCCTATGCTTAGAAGAGTAATCTGGTATAGTTTAAAAAAAAATACTCATACACTCAACTTAGGGCTCACTTTTCCAGTGCATACACTAAAATTAGAATAATCCAGGCCATTCTCAGACTGCAGGGGGAGAGAACCAGGCCTCACAAGGAGGCGATCCTCTCCTGGAAACCATATCATTTGCCTTGTTTTCTTGAGTTGGGTTCTATTCTCTTTTGTTTTGTTTATGTCAAATCTGATGGCATGTGCAGCTATTTAAAAGATAGCAAGACATATTATGGTAGCCACTTTGGATTTACTATTGACTTGTTTTGAAGTCCTTTATAGAAAAAAATTAGAGTAATCCAGAGAAGACTAGCATGGCCCCTGCACAAGGATGACAAGCACGCTTGTGATTCATCCTAAATTTCTAATAAGAAGTCAGACTTTTGGAGATGGGATCAAGGAAGTGCAGGGCAGGGCATAACAGGACAAAAAATGAACAAGATAAGTTACAGGCAAGTGCCAATCTCCCCAAAATAAGTATCACTATTTTATATTGCAACATACACTAATAAGAGAAAAAACTACATCTGAATCTACCATCAGTGATTCTTAGTTGCTGCAGAGTAGGCCCCGAGGATCTAGCTATCTGGTAACTTTTAAAAGTTCCTCAGATGACCCTGATTTAACTGAGGACAATGGTCTAGGACAATCAAGGTCCCTTTCGCTGGACTGCTCCCAGACTTGTTTGCAGCTGCAGGTGGCTGTGTGACACAGTTCCACTCAGCGTGGCCAAGGACAGACCCTGGGGCTGCCGGGAAGTGTCCTGCTATCTGCTGGAGGGACAGACGGGCAAGGCGCTCTGTGCACCTGTCACTCTCAGGTATGGCCGTGGTCTCCACTCAAAGTGCAGCCCCGAACTTTCCAGAAGCTCTACCTCCTGCCTGTCAGAAACCCAGGTTATCATAAAAGAGGTTCAAGGTTCTCTTTCTGGCCAAACGCAGGAGTCCTGGGGCCCCAGACAGAGAGTAGAGAAGCCACTGTGGGTGACCTGAGCAGTCAACCTCCATGTGAGGTCACCCCTGTCATTCCTTTCCTGTGTCCCTGTGGAAACCCCAAGTGAAATCCAGGCAGCTGTGCCCAGTCAGAGCACAGAGCTGAGACAGCCAATCCGTACCACCTTCATCCCTAAAACTGGGGGCAGTGTGCTGCTCAGCAGGAGGTGACCAGGAGCACCCACCCCACTCAGCACGTAAGAGAGAAAGGGTTAGGACTCATCCTTCCCTGCTGCTGAAGGATGTTTGGGGTTGCTTGCCTTCCTTTGATTAGAGCCCAGCAAGTCCAGTTAGAGAGAGAAACACATCAGTATCCACACGGCCTCATGGGGCGCTGAGAGGCAGCAGGCAGAGCTGCCGGGCACTGGCGGCGGCAAGGTCACACCGCAGAAGACACATGAGGCACAGTCTCGGAGGGTACCACCATCTGGCTTGGAAAACGTCTCCTGCAGGGAGCAGCAGGGGCCCCGTGAAGCCTTTGGGCCTCCAAGGTCAGGAGCTTTTCTGACCTCAGTGGGAAGGATGCAGCTGAGGAGCTGGGGGAGGAGAGGGGAGCCTAACGAGGTGGTAGGGTTATTTGGAGTCATCTTGATCTGAATTCATGTCTCTGTCCCTCTTTGAGAACTGGGTGACCGAGGTATCACCACCTTGCAGGGATTTTGTGTCCTCACTGTTTATCTGAAGGAAGTCCAGGGAGCCAGGTGAGAGCCACCTGGGCTGCAGGGACACCTGGAGAGGAAAAGGTTCTCTTCGGCAACACCAGCACCACCAGCTGGCTACAGAGCACTCCTGGGGACATCTGCAATGACTGTCCTTGGAGGAGGCCACAGAGTGACCGTCCCAGGAGTGGGCACTCAGCACCACCTTTCCAGCACCTGAGGGCAAAGGTGCCAACCTAGCTTCCCAAAGCTTCATCCCAAGTGTAGGAGGCTGATTCTGCCTGGGAGCCCCCTTCCTGCCAGTGGTGTGAACAGCACCTCCTCCACCCAAGGTCAAGAGCAAGGCTAGATGAACAGCAAGGTTCCCACAGGTAAATTTAAGGATGTATTCGCTGTCACACATTGGGCTGATCCCTCCCCTCCCCTCCCCTTCCCCTTCCCTTCCCCTCCCCTCCCCTCCCCTCCCCTCTTCTCTCCCCTCCCCTCACCCCTCCCTTCCCTCTCCCCTTCCCTCTCCTCTCCTCTCCTCCTCTCCTCTCCTCTCCTGTCCTTTCTTTTCACCCCCTCCCTCCTTCCTCCCCTCCCCTCCTCTCCTCTGAGTCCCCTGGAGCCACTAAGGCTGTGTAATCTACCCAGAAGTCCCGAGCTGCACCCTTCATGACTCACCAACTAGAACTCATCTCTTGCCTCCCAGCACTGATAAGAAAAGCTGAATCACCAAGGCAACCGGAATGTCATCACCACGGATCAGAAGCCAAGTGTGGATGATCACAACCAGTATTTTCTAAAAGAAAAAAAAGGAGAAAGAAACAGAATTTAAAATACCAGCATACGACACTCACAGGAAGCACAATGTTGGTAAAACTGTTTCCAACTCTGGGTGTGTGAGTGTGCGTGTGTGTACTGAAAATTTGTCACTTGAGCTAAGTGTTTGGGGTGAGTGGACAGTGAGTGGTCAATAGCTGACCATTCTAGAGCTGCGTTTCAATTCATTCATTCTCTGTCTGTGTCTGTCTGTCTCTGTCTGTCTCTGTCTGTCTCTCTCTCTCTCTCTCTCTCTCTCTCTCTCTCTCTCTCTCTCTCTCTCCCCCTGTCTCTCTCTCTCTGTCTCTCTCTCTCCTTCGGTCTCCCAGAAATTGAACTCAGAAGCTGCAGAACTGGACAGATTGGCTCCAATGCTAACTTTATGGCTCCTTGGCCATGTGACAGACACTACATAAATCACATCTCCAAACCTCAGTTTTCGTATTGTAAAATGGGAGGCATCATGCCCACTCAGCCAAATTCAGTCCAGTGGAGGAGAAAACGGTCCACGCACATATAGGTTATTGAAGGGTTCCCTTTTGCACTGTGTTAGCTTTGCTTCCTGCCAGCTGAGGGCAAGCCTGGTGCACATGTCATCCGGTTATCTAGTGCTAAGGGACAACCACCCTGTGCTTAGTGGCATAATATGGTAGCCGGTGTTCTAACTCTCATGGGTTTTGCAGGACTGGATTGAAAAGGGCAGTGAGCCAGTGGCTTGTCTTTGCTCCATGATATGTAGGGTCCCCACTGGGAGTGGCTCACAAGTTGGTTCTGGAATCTGGAAGCTGGTCCACTCACCTGACTGACATCTGTGTCCAGGTGTGGTGTCTGAACTGTTGACCCAAATCCAGTCTCTGTGTGTGACTGCTCTGTGACTTGGGCTTCTCACAGCTTGGCGTCTGGGTTCTGAGTATGAGCACCTGCCCTCAGAGTTACACCATCTGCCAGGATGTGTTTTTTGAAATGGTCACAAGTCTACCTGGATTCAAACAAAGGGGAGGAAAAGCAGTCAACATGAACCAGTATAAAAAAAACCTTTACTGTGTGCCCAGAAATATTCATAGAAGGAATGAACGCCTGCCTGTATGAGCCAATAAGTGACTGAGTGAGTGAGCAGGTGACGCAGTCAATGGCTTTCTTGTTCACGTCTGTATCCCCTGTGTCCCAAAAGCTCAGCACATGTTTGTTGAATGACTGAGTGAATGGAGATCTTTTGAGGGCAGTGAGGCCTGACAACACCCACAGCTTGGCATCATCCCACTTCCACCTTAGGGGTCACATGTCCAGGACTGTGGGCATCTGGACTGCATATATTGTTGAGTGACAATAGAAGCAAGTGTCCTGACTGTCAACCCCTAGGTGAGTGGCTGAGAAACACTTTACCAGGAGCCTCGCTCTGGGGAGGAGTGATGTTGTATCCAAGGCTTACAGGACAGCCTCTCCGAGGGCAGATCCGGTGAGAGTTTCCCCAAGTTCTCAGGAGAGCTGAAGAATTTGCAGTGGCTGGTACAGAAGCTTATCATCAAGGAAATACGGCAGAAAACAATGTGTGTTTCTCATGCTGAAAGAAAAGCCCAGAAATTAGACGAGTGATCAATGTTGTTGTACCACTTCCCCCCTGCACTTGTGTACACTGGATCCTACCACGTTCTCACAGATTGAGATGACTTAAAAGTCCATTTATAGATATTCTGCCAAAAAAAGTTTGTTTATAGATATTCTGCAAAGGGGGAATTTTCTTTTCCTAACTAGACTGAGCCTGAGGCAGGAGAGAGGGTGGATGGTTGGCAGACTTGTGGACTAACAAATCCAGTTCAAAAATGAAGGAAATCTATGAGGGCTGAGCAGCCCGGAGGGTGGGCGATGAGGGTGGATCTGAGTAGCGCGGGCCTGAACGCAGAACCCACGAAGCGGCTCAGCCAGCGCCAGGCTCGTTCAGCACCAGGGTACTCCAGACAGCTCCCCAGGCTTCTGCTAAGAATTCTTCTGGCCCTAAATTAAGCACAGACCTTAATTCCAGATCAAAGCTTCTCCATGAATCTAATCTTGTTTGCCAGTTTATTCTGTCATGCTCTAAAGCCAGAGACTAGTAAAATTATTTTTTCTGTCTGCCTCTTTCCTTATGAACCCTCTCTAAAATTCTATTTTGCCTTTGCATCATTGTTGGTTATCATTGCATAACGGTTAGGAGCCCCGGGCTCAAGCATAAGACAGCTTGTGTTTAAACAAAAATTCTGTGGCCTTAGACAAGTTTCCCTTTTTGAACATTCTGAGCCTTTGCTGAATGGGCGTATGTAACAGATATTTATTGAGTTGCTCCTACAGATAAGTTTTTTTGTCTGGATATTGAGTATTGATCCTCATGTAATATATATTCTCTTGGTATGAGGTGTATAACATAGTGTTGCCCCCAAAAACCCATAAAATAATTCTAGACAATAAATTCTAGGAAGAAAATTAAACAAGGCATTGTGATACAGACTCACTCAGAAGAGTGACTTTCACTAGGGCAGCTGGGCAAGACATCTCCGGGGAGCTAAGATTTGGATGGAGACCAGTATGGGGGAGGTGAAAACAGCCAGAATAACAGAGATACAGGGAGAGGAAAACCCAGCACAAGGGCAAAGAAGCATGAAGGAGTTTGCCATGTGTCTCCTGAGGCTGCCAAGGCAAACTACCACCAGCCAAGGTTATTTTTACTGACCTGGAGGTTAGAGACCCTAAATCCAGGGCCACGCCCTCTTTGTCCGATGACTTTGGAAAACGATCCTTCTTGCCCTTTCTAACTTCTAGGAGTTGCTGGCAGTCCTTGCTGGTCCTTACTATGTAGCTGGGTGGTTCTGATTCTTGCCTCTGGCTCTGTCTGGCCTTCATCCCTGTGAGTCTCTCTTCTATCTCTCTGTATCTTTCTCATATGTGGACTTGAGGCATTGGACTTAGTCTAAAGCTGACCTCATCTTAACAAATGAATGTACATTTCTAAAGACCTGTTCCCCAAGTAGGAGGTTTGGGAGGTCACTAGTCTACCCAGTATGGCATGCGATCTGAGCAAAAAAGACAGAAATAGACAAAATAGACAAAAAAGACTATGGCTGAAATATCATGAGAAAGTGGGAGATGTGAGGCTCACGTGGAGAGCAGGATTCTTCTTAAGTGAAAAAGATGCCTTTAAGGATTAAGCACAGCAAGTGGCCTGTATGTTTAGAAGACCACTTGGTGTTGCACGGAGACTGGATTGTAAGTCAAAGAGCAAGAATGTACCTAGAAGCCTTACTAGGAAAAGTGTTCAATTGTCTCAACAAGAGGTTATGGATGAAAAAGAACGTAATGGTAAAGAACATAACTTTGATAAAGAACATAATGGCTAAAGTTGATTAGGATACATTTTGGATGTTATGACAATCATGATTATCAACTTGACTAGATTAATAAGCTCCTAGCAGATAAGTGGCAGACATTTCTGGGTATTTTGGGGGGGACTGTGGGGGTGTGAACTGGGGGCTACACCTGATTTCCCCTCTAACATTGTTTCTAATCTGCTCTCCAGCCTCCGTGAAGTGAGCAGTGTTATTCCACCGTGTGATGCCTCTGTTTCTAGAAATGACTGATTATGGACTGAACCCTGTGAATCTGTAATCCAACAAGCTGTTTGTATTGTGTATATTTAGCATTTGTCTCAGCAATAAAAAGCTAGTATGGATGTAGATGTAGAAACTTCTGAAGTGTCGAATGCCAGTGGTACAGGAAACAGAAGTAATTCTAGGAGGTGCTTTTCCTAAAGTGGGGAGCACTAGAGATAAAGCACGGCAAAGAGCCCTTCAGATTTGCTTAATCCATTGCCAAGTTCTGCCACCTGCGGCTGCCCACCGCACAGCTCAGTTAAGCAGGAATGAGAGCCTGCAGGCTCAGCAGGAGAGAAGCCCAAGGAGCTGCTTGACATTCAGATGGGTAAAAGGATCTTTTCGGTCCATCCTCAGAGAGCAGGGTTTGGAGAAAGGGGACACCCTGAGTGTCACTGCCTCCTGCTACCCTGGAAGGCTCTGAGGAAGGGGCAGCTGGGGCTCGGGTAGAGACAGAGAGTGGAAAGTTGAGAATTTGAGATTCTCCTTCCTGCTTGAGCCCTATGAGACACTGGAGATCATTCATTCTGAGCATCAACATCCTCTTTTACAAATTGGGCATCTCCTAGGCACAGCTGGAGGAAACGGGCAGAGTCCACGTAAGAACACAGCGTAGTACCTGGGCCAGAGTAAGGAGCTTTGCCATTGTGATTGCCAAAGATCCTAGAGAACAGCACAGTGCAGAGAGATAATGTAGTGTGGTAAGGACATGGACTCCACAGCAAGGCTACTGGGTTCAAATCCCAGAACACAGCCTCCCCTCCCGAGTTCAAATCCCAGAACACAGCCTCCCCTCCTGGGTTCAAATCCTACCCCCCTGGCTAATCTGTATCCTTAAGCAAGTCACTTACCTGGTCGGGGTCAGTTTCTCTGTCTTTCACCCTCCACTTGGAGCACTGTCAGTATAAAAAGAGCATCACATACAAAGCATAAAGAGCATCACAGAGCAATAATACATTCTTCATGCGGAGCCGTCATTGTTAGGAAGACTGACCCTGGGGATGTCCCCGACTCTGGCTGGCACCTCCCAAGTACTCTCTGGCTAATTTCTCTCTAATTTACTTTTTGTCCATTTACAGGACCTGTGGACAGAGAGTTGGGTCCAAACTGTGCTTAGACACTAAAGGTTGAGGAGAATCTCAGGGTCACTGTAATCACCGGTCTGTCCTCCACTCGCCATGCTAGAGTTTTACATGGATTTTGTCCCTCTGTCTTCTGAGGATCAAGGGGAGCTCTCTTCTTATAATTCTCATTTTTTCAGATGAATAAATAATTTGGAGAGAATGTAATTGATGGACTGACAGTGGTGAACAATTCTTCGGCACTTACTAAGTACAGGCAGGCAACCAGGGTCCCTCAGAAACAGCCTGCATGCCATTTGAAATTCAGTGCGGTCCCATCCTTGGGAAGCATCCTAAATGCAGAAAGTTTCACTCATTCATTTGTTTGCTCATTCATTCATTCAACTTTCAATACCCACACCTTCTGTACCAAGAAAGCTAACTGGCTCGTGCCTTTTGAGTGGCAGTCTTAGAGACGGGAGAGGTCCCTGTGGGGCTGTGGGAGGCTTGCTTCAAGAATTTGCAACTCATAAACAAAACAAACAAAAGAAATGACAATTCTTGAATAAAAACTAGGAAAGGTACAGAGGGAAAAGTCAAAAGGTGGCTAGAAGATGGCAAGCTTCAGAGACTGAGTCGACCCGAATCCAGATGGGCAAAGGCCTTTTCCCAGCTGAGCACCTCGATTCACGGTTCGTCCACAGCGCGGCTCTGGTTTCTGCCAGTGAGAACACGGTGGGTTCCCAGGTCGAGTCAGGAAGCCCGCCAGTCCCGGCTCCTCCTGCACAAGGGAAAGAGGAGACGGGGAGAGAAAGCCCAGAGCGAAGGCACAAAAGACATCAGGCTGCTGCTCGGGTGGGCAGCGCGCGTTCCTTCTGCTCCCACGACACCTGCTTGACCCCGGGGTGTGCAGGCTGCGGCGCCGCCAGCTAACCGGAGAACAGATGCCGGGCTGAGGCGACGGTACAGTGCGGGGAACAGAGCAGCTCCGGGGGGCGCCAAGGCAGCCACGGAGAGCCCGCCGCGCTTCCTCGACCGGCCCTGGGAGCCCTTTGAACTTTGGGAGCCAGGTAAGAGCGCGGAGGGCTCAGGTGTCCATGCTACGGGAGGTGGAAGCCAGGTGCCCAGTTAAGGGTAGAGAGCGACCCACAGTCCGGAACGCACCCTGGAGGGACCCCCACCCCGTGAGAGATCGCTGAAAGTCTTCTTGAAAACCGAGCAGCGAGCACCTGTTTACTCCAGTTTCTGGTTCCTTGGAGTCCTGCGCAGTGAACTGAGACCCCACATCCACTGGGTGAACCATTTCAGCTGCATTCAGACGCGGGACCCAGCTGCCTGCCAGGAGAGCATTCCGCAGCCCTGCGGGGGAGCGCGCCTTTGCAGGGCGAGCGAGCGCACTGTTGCAGCCTGAGTGGTTCCCCGCCTTAAGGGGCGAGGGCCAGGTTCATGGAGAACGCCACGGGCTCCCCGGAGCGCGCAAACGCGTCTGGCCTGGGTGCCATGCCCCGGGCTCCACTGGTCGTGCAGGTGGTGACTCTGACCCTGGTGCCCCTAGTGAGTGCCGTGGGTGTGGCGGGCAACGCCGTGGTGGTACTCGTGGTAGTCTGGGACCGCCACATGGTCACGCCCACCAACTGTTACCTGGTGAGTCTGGCCGTTGCAGACCTGCTGGTGCTTCTGGGGGCTGCAGTGCCCACTGTGGCTGAGGCGGCATCCGGTGGTGGCTGGGTCTTTGGCCACGCCGGCTGCCTGGGCATCACCTACCTGCAGTACGTTGGCATCAATGCCTCCTCCGGCTCCATCATGGCCTTCACCGTGGAGCGCTACCTCGCCATCTGCCACCCTCTGCGCGCCCAGGCACTGTGCACCGTAGCGCGGGCCAAGCGCATGGCAGCATGGGTGTGGCTGGCCACGGGCACCTACTGCACGCTCTGGCTCTTCCTGGTGGACACACGCAAGGTAGTGTATGCCGATGGCGTGCAGGTCCAATGCGACTACCGCGTGTCGCGCTCCCTCTACCTGCCCGTGTACTTCCTGGACTTCGTGTTCTTCTACGCGCTGCCGCTGGGCCTGGCCACCGTGCTGTACGCGCTCATAGCGCGCGTCCTCTTCACCAGACCGCTGCCTCCTGGCCACTCCGGGCTCACGGGCTCTGACCATCAGATGGGCCCCGCCCACCACGCAAGCTTCTCCTCCAAGGGCAGGAAGGACGCCCTCAACTCTCGGAAGCAGGTAAGACCCGGACTCTCACCAGACCCTTCTATCGAGCCAACAGAGGCGGGTGCAAGATCAGCAGCCCCTGGAGTCAGACACCTCAGTCCAAATCCCTGTTGCACCACTTACTAGGTTTGCGTTTTGGAGCCTCTGTCGTGGGGGGATTGTCAGTCCGTGGAAATGAGATGACTCCTCTGAAGTCTGCGGCCCACTGACTGTTAAACCTAACATGCTTGATTGTTGCTGGTTATCGTTGTTAGACTTCCCTGACTGCTGTGTCTGGACAGCGATTGGTCATCTTCTTCTACTCTTGGGAAAACAGGCTCAGAAAGGCAAGGTGACTTTCTCAAGGCCATGCTGCTGTGTCTGACACTAAGGCTGCCTCGGTGGAGGGAGAGGACCTGAGAGCCCAGGATGGGGATAGGGAGAGACAGCATTTCACAGTGGGCCTGGTGTGTGACCGTGCCTGAGGTGATCCCTGGTCAGAAAGTTAATAGCTGTTTTTATGGACCAGGACAGAGGCTCATGGGGAGCCAGGGGTGAGGAAGGGCGCACAGTGAGACATCTGGGTGGGGAGCCACAGGTCCAGTCTCCCTGTACCTGCCCTGCTCTCCTGCAGCCTGGATGCTCAGGGTTTTCAGGACTGCAGCACACGGACAGCTCCTGGGTCCAGCTGGTCTTTACCCTCAGCCTTTCGCCTCCACCTGCAGCTCTTGGGGAGAGCGGGGCAGAGGACACCTCCTAACTAAGTCACTACTGGAACCTGGCGAGGACCATCTGAGCACCTCCCTGCCCCCCTCGGTGTACCCCCATGACTCTCTGGGAAGGTGCTCTCTAAGGGGCTCCCACCAGCTCCTGTCCACCCTCATGCAGGCATCTCAGCTCCAGGCAGTGCTAGCCAGAGGGTGAGCTCTTGTGAAATAATCCCAGCCTGCTGACCTGCGCTGCCCTGGAAGGGACAAATGTGCCTCCTCCCCTCCCCGTGCCCCGTGACTATTCTGCTTACTGCTTTCCCACTCGGCCTGGCATGGGGGGTCCAACTGTCTAGAAGAGACACTGCTGGTGGTGAAAAGAGCAGTCCAGCCTGGGTCCCAGCTTGCAGCTTTGCTAAGGGTGACTTGCTCTGTGACCTTGGGTAGGTCATTTCATCTATTTGAGCCTCAGTTTCCCCCTCTGTAAAATGGGCAAGTGAAAATCATGAATCTGCATGTGGTAAGTGTCCCATATACAGTGCCTGTTATTACTGTTGTGGTTTTTGATGAGAGGGATTTCTGTGGCTTGAGCATTCTCTGGTGCCTAAGAGAGCCCTTACAGAATATAATGGGCAGTTGCAATGGGAACAGGGCAGTAAATGAAGGCAGCGTGTTAAGGACCAGGAAGCAGAGAATAACAGTACTAACAGCTAACAGTTGCTGTGTGACAGGCGCTCATCTGAGTGCTGTACCAAGTCAGAAAACTGAGTTTTTACACTCGATGCGGTACACACTGTTGTCCTGGTTTGACAGATAAGGAAACTGAGGCAATTACAGAGCTGAGTGCCAAGGTCAGGATTTGAATCCAGGCCATCTGATTCCAGAGCCCAGTATTTATCACCAAATGAACCTAAAACAATGGAATTAAATTTGAATTTGATAAAATAAGGAAGTCAAGGCTGACAAGGGAACTCCCGGGATTCCATAGCTCACGGAGAACCTGATAACTCTGAGGGTTCTTGGCTTGGTCTGGGCCTTTCAGAGAGGCCCCTCACAGAGACTGAACGCACAGAGTGGGAGAAGCCGTCACACGCTGCAGCCCTCCAGGCCGGCTTCTTCCCTGTGAGAAAGTGGCCTTTCCCGGAGTCCCCAGAGCTGACTGCAGCGGCCCAGGGTGGTCTGGACAGAAGCAGTTCCAGGACTGGCCAGGCAGTTCTGGCTCCTGTAAGTGAGCTTAAACTCAAGGTTTGATCTCTAAAGCACCACTGAGGACTTCAGAAGCAGGGACAGGGGTGGCAGCCCTGCTCCTTCCTGCACACGTGCCCTGTGGCATCTGCATGCTGGGATGTAGAGCCCTGAATCTTTGATGCACATCAAGGGGGGCTCTGTGTAGTCTAGGCTATCCAGGTGCGATGACCAGATCTGCAGACCCAGGGAGGTGACGAGGAGGGAAGGAGCCAAGGTGGTTCCAAGGTGGGCAGGGGGCTCAGAAGGAAAGGAGCAGGAGAGAGGAAAGGACCAGAAGGGAGTGCGTGGCTGGGAGTGGTGGGGAGAGAGAGGCTGGCCCAATCCTCAGCAGCTGGCCAGCAGTGGGGCCAGGGTTCCAGCCCAACTGCACACGCACCGTGACAGAGGCAGTGTCAGGGCAGCAGCAGGCGTGGGCACAGCGGTCCTCATGTGCCGTTCACTCTCTGCCTGGCTCCTGCATTAACCCCTTCGACCCCCACACCCCCTGCAGTCTCCATCTCACAGGTAGAACTGTTCCTGTCTCACAGGCAGAAATCCTAGGGCCCAGTTGGCTCATGAATTTGTCTTCTAGGTGCTAGAGGCCCATCCAAAGGCTTTGGAGGTGGACTGGAGGCAAGAAGTTTCCAAGGGGAAAAAATAACTCGTGCAGGGCATTGATGACTGCATAGGAGTCTTCCGGGGGGCTTTCGGGAGGCACAGCTTACAATGCCAGTGGCTGCCTTGGTTGGATTCTGCCCTGGCACCCACGCGTTCCTTCCTCTCCTCCTACCTGGCAGGTCATCAAGATGCTGGCCGTGGTGCTGGTCCTTTTTGCTGTGCTGTGGCTGCCCTACCGCGCTCTGGTGGTGGCGAATTCCTTCCTGCAGCCACCCTACCTTGACTTCGGCTTCCTTCTCTTCTGTCGTCTTTGCATCTACCTGAATAGCGCTGCCAACCCCATCGTCTACGCCCTCATGTCCCAGCGCTTCCGCAACGCCTTCCACAGGCTGTTCCAGTGCCGCCTGGCCCAACCCAAGCGCCCGCCCCAGGAGGACCTCCCTGTTTGCTACAGCATCGTCAAAGACTGTTCCCAGCACAGTTTGGGCCCCTAGAAGGAACCTGGGGGCATGCCAAGGGCTCAGACAGACAGGAGGTCTTGGCAAGGCCTACTACTCTATCCCTATTCAAATTAAGAGGTTTCTATGCACTTAGGGAGGAGGGAGTGGTGTCCAAGTCTGCCTAGTAGAGATGCACAGGTTGTGCACTCACACTTTTAGGAATCACTATTCATAGCACAGACAGCCTAGGTTTGTCTACTTAGCTCACTCACAGAAACTGTGAATATACAGACCTAAAGGGGGAAGGTGTCACCTTTGCATAATTTACACAAAGGCTTTATATGGCCTGGGGACATCCTAGGTAGGGTTGGAGTAAGATTTTGAATGAGATCTCTAATTTGCAGAGATCGAATGAAGCGGAAGAAGATGTCAGGGATCTGGGAACCCCTCTTCCTGGGAGCCCAGCAAGCTTTTGATTGCCCGGACAAACAAAACGTTGCCTCCCCCTGCTGGGCTCCACATGTTGTCTCTGTCTAACAGCTGGCTCGGGACACAGATGTTTCCCCAGCAGCCACTGTGCAGGTGCAGAGGGGGGGCAGGACAGACACAGAGGACAGAGCCAGAAATGTGGCTGGGTTGGAGGCCACATCTTCAAACACATTTTGATTGCAGACAAGAGTGTCAGATAATGGTAAAGCCCTGGGTGTTCATCAGGATTCAGAGCATTAGCAAAGGCCCTCCAAACATTAGTGAATGGCCCACAAAGCTTTTTGCTAGCTCACGAAGTGCTGTCTTTCAAGGGTGACTGGCTCCCATTTTGTGACCCAAGCTCTAGGCCGTTTCTGTCTCATGAGCTCAACTTCTCAGTAGGTGCATCCACAGCATGCAGTAAAGGAAGAGGGTCTGAACAGGCCTCAAACTGTCAAGTGAATGCTGGTAAGTGACAGCTGTGACTTCAGCTGGTGACCAGGAGCACAGCTGGCTAAGCGGCCGAGCACCTGGCTCTTCCCAAAGGCAGTAAGGACTGGTCTGAGTGAGCACGGCATTCCCTGCCATGGGGAAAGTGACAGACCTGAGAACCAAGGTAGAAAATGGGGCCTCTTCTGTCTGTTTGTCCCTTTAAGCAGCAGGGCAGCAGCCCCCAAAGCCCCCAAAGCCCCCCTACCCAGTGTAGCATCTGGCTGTGATCCTAGGAAAATAGCCCAAACCAGAGTTTAGCCTCTTCTTGAAACTGTGAGACTCTCAGAAGAAGCCTTGTACCTGTCAAAGGACGCTGGATTCCCAGGGTGCAGGCGCTGTCCAGCTGGGCTGAGTGCTGAATGGATATCCAGGAGCCAGAGGGAGAGGGCTGAGCCTCAGAGCACTGGCTTGGATGGCTGTGTCAGCTCCCACGTCTCCCCATCCCTGTGGGCCCCCAGACACGTCAGATTTGGTGCCTAACGAGAGTCAAGGTTGAAAGAGTCAGGCACAGTTGTAGCATAGTCAGCATGAGGTCACACCAGGCGGATGACCCCCGGTGCTCAGTGACTCCCCGTGAGATATGTGACATGTTGGCCATGTTCCCCCACCTCAGTTCCTCCATCTAGTAGCTGAGAGGTGGCAGAGGTTTTTCTAGCCCTGACATTCCCCCAGACTACTGTTTTCTGGCGAAATGGACACTTTCCCCGTAAATGTCACAAACCCCAAAGCTTCCCTCACTGGTTAACCGGGTCTGACGCTGCTGGAAGGTTCTCCAGACAGAACGTCCTGGGGCTACTGAGAAGCCGCCTTCACTTCTGCCTGCCTCTAGCTCTGTCTTCTCCCTGGCTCTGGCTCTGTCGTGTTGCCAGGGAGATGGGAGGGCACACCAGGCTTTTCCTGGTCCCTCTCTCTGGCATTGAGAGGAACAGTGTGGCCAGAGGTCCTGCATTTGTCCCCATGTGGATTCACTCTCCCACCAAAGCTCAGTCTTAGTGGACTTTTCCCAGGGAGAGGCTGAGCCCAGAGCCCAAGTATCCGGACTTCAGCAGAGGGTGTGCAGATGAAGCGCCTCTTCGTGTCCTCCATCCCTGGCCTCCTTTGCAGTCTGTCCTCCGTGTAGCCAAGAGACGCCTCTGGCTGCATTCAGGAGGAGAGAAATTGCTGAAATCTGGTTTCTTCCAAACCCAAAGTTAAGAGAAAAGAAACAGAAAGTGTGTGTGTGTATGTAGGGGGAGGGTTAAAGACTCGGCCTTCAGCCTTCCAGTTTAGGAAGTCCCCTGCAAGTCTGAGTTCATTTTCACTTTCACTAAGAAACTGCAGCCTTTCTGGGCACTCTCGGGGCAGACAGCTCAGCAGGATTCAAGGTCACATGGGAAGTTCCCCAGACAGCGGCCCTCAAACCTGCCCTCTGTACCTCTCAGCAGCTCTACTGGGCATTCAGATGGGGGCGAAGGAGACAGAGTGAGACCCTTGGGGGATGAGTCCCCCAGACTTCACATGCTCAGCCCTGAACACGTGTGGGGCAACTGGACAGAGGTCTGAGCTGGCCCCGGGAGGCCTCCCCTGACCGCTTCTCCCTTGTGATTACTTCTGTCCTCCTGGACCCACCTGCTACATGACCCCTCTTGCAGCAGGTGGCTTAGGTGTCCTCCTGCACGTGCCTTTCCCTCCTTTACAGCACTTGATTGGGAGCTCCTGGGAGCAGGGCCCTCTGGGCATCCCCTGGGTAGCATCGTCTGCCCTGTCCTCTATGCAACAATAAAGGCCTGAGGACGAACATGGCTACCTCACCATGGCAAAGAGGTGCCCTGCTGGAAATGTCCACAGCTGGCAGGAGTGGGACAGGGAGGCACAGACCACCAAAAGCTGGCGAGACCCTTGCAATTTCCCTAGGTCTGGTTCCCATCAATAAAAAGGGGGAATAAAACCTGGGGACGACTCACAGCTGCATCAAAGACAACTAGGCAGCTGAGGGGGAGCTTGAGGGAGGGAGCGTGGCGGCCACCTCCGGGAGGGTCGTGGACCGTGGAAGGTGCTCCCGCTAGCTCTGAGTGATGTGTGGCCTGGTCAGGTCTTTCCTAAAGAAGGCAGCAAATCAGCTTTTCTGGACAACTTATTTAAATAACCTACTCCATTACAAAGAAGAAAGGATGCAGAATAAATAAGCAGGTTTGTGGCTGCCAGGCTGTGGGAAAATCAGCAGGAGCCGTGTGACCCTCCAAAGATGAAATTACCTACAGAAGCCGAGTATAAAAATCAAGCAAGACTAAAATGGAGATGGGGTCCTCACCTGTGCTTTCCTGCTTTAGGGGACACCGGGGCTCCCCCTGGCACTTACACATCCCTTCCTGGCATGTCACAGCCGGGCTGTAGGACTGAGAGAACTGAGCCACCCACTGGTGTCATCCAGGCTGGGCGATCTCACCCCGTTGACCCATGGATCAGGGCAACGCCAGGGAAGGATGCAGGTTAGGACAGCAGCACATTCCTCAGTCAGGAGTTGGCTCCAGGCTTCTGTGCACTGTTGGTAGAATCAATACGTACTTTCCTCTTAGAGGAGGGTTAGGGCATAGGTAGCCCTGGATGCCTCTGGAAACCATCTTGAAATATTAATAAACACCAGTCTAAAGATACAACTAAGACAGATATAGATGGGGTAAAGTCAAGAAAATTCAAGAGAATTAACAGTGAGTACACAGGGCACAAACTCCTTGTGATGGTTGGATGCATTTAGCTACAAGTAACAGAGTGCTCGGCTAACAGTGATAAACATTCTATCCCACCACATAACAAGCAGTCTGAGAACAGGCAGCTCCAGGGATGGTGAAGGGTCTCAACAATATCCCTGTGACCTAGGCACTTCCAACTTTATAATCTCCAGTGGGTTAGCAGTGTCCCCCTTAGGGTCACCGTAGCAGCTCTGTGTATCACGTTCTCTCATAGCAATCTGCAAACAGAAAAAGAAGATACAGGTTTCTCATCGTGTAATTCTCTTCTCATCCAACAGGGATGACTTTCTCAGAAGCCCCACAAAGCTCTCCAGCCCCCCCCCCCCGGCAGAGCTGGCTGCACACCCACCCCTGAACGGTCCCCTCCCGAGGGACGTGGGATTGGCGTGATTGACACGCTGGTCATGGTTCCTTTTCTGTAGCTGGGCGGGGGGGCACTTTCCTTGGACACTTTGTGGTTCAAACAATATCAGGTCAGCTGTTCACAGAGCCTTCCCCACGGGCCCTTTTGCTAAGACGGTTTGATTTCCCATACCAGGAAGTCTCCTTTAAACCAAGTTGAGCTGGGGTTTCTCATACTTGTAACTGGAAGCCTCCTAGGGCACGCAGAGGAGGTTGCTCCTGGCACAATGGACAATCTCGGCTGTAAAGATGGTCACCATGGCACACAGCTAGAGCTGAGGCTTCAGGAGCTGGGGAAGGCCTGGGCTTTGTACTGCAGACATGCGCTGCCTCCACCACCACCGTCGGCCATTGCTCCTCCAGCTGGTGAAGTCCACCTCTGCCTGCCACCTCAGGGAGCTGGCCCAGGTCACTCGAGAGGCCTCCACTCCATTTGATTCCCGGACCTCAGTCTCAAAATTCCGCCATCAATGCCTTCCCCTGGCATCCTGTGGGACCTGGCATTAAGATGCCCACACCTATAACTGCATGAGATTGTTAGACCTTTCTTTATGGACTGGAAGGGATAGGAAAATGTTTTGGGGAGAGTGGAAAAGGATACGAAAGATTTCAAAAAACAAGTTTGGGTCTGGTTCATTCATTTATTCATTCAGTTCATGCATTCAGCTAATGTTTATTGAGCACCTAATATGTGCCAGGTGCCCTTCTGAGTATAGGGGAGAAACAGCCGACTTTTCTCCATCTCTTTACATGGGAATGTGGGGGGGGGCAGCCAGCTCCCCATTGCAGCCAGAGCCTTGCCCTCCTCTGTTTGTCTTGGTGGCTCTGACCCCAGCAAATCTGCCCCAACTCCCAAAGGATGGATGAGAAATTCAGAAGACTCAGGTGACCTCGGCTGCAGCTGCAGCCAAGATGAAGACCAAAGGACTGAGCCAGTCCTACCCCCTCCCACAGAATGGCGTCTTGGGACAGCTGCTTGTCTTTAGCCGAGCCTGCAGGCCCCTGCCTGGTCTATCCTGAGTATGAGCCCATTTCTAGGTTCTCCAGGCCCATTTCTAGGACCTGATCTGATGGTGCAGGGACGAGATGGCAAAAGGCTGCTGAATTTGCGGAGAGTCCTTCCAGGCAGGGCCTCTGCGTTTCTGCTGAAGGAACCCGAGATGCCTCCTCCTCCCAACAGTGGGCAGGGGATGTTTGTTCTCAGCACCCTCAGCTCAC